GTCCGTCCTGTCCCCTTCGACCCTGTCCCGGATGCTCCGCCCATCCCGCGCCAGCCGCCGTTCTGTCGCCTCGCCCGCTCGTTCCGGGCCTCGGTGGTCTCCGCGTGCGTCCCCTGCTCCCCGGTCTCCCTCGTCCTCCCCGTTCGCCCGCCTTTCCCCGCCTCCGGCCCCTCCTATCGACGTAGACATGCTGGACGCGGTGGCCGCCGACTCCGACGATGCGGATCCTCCGCTTCTCCCCGAGGCGCCCCTCCCTCTTTTCCTTCCGTCGCCGTCCGCTCGTGGTGAGTCCCCGTCGCCGCCTCCGTCGTTTCCGCGGGGACGAGCCGTTCCTCGTCGTTTCCCGTCCCCTCCCCCGATCGCCGTCCTCAGCCCCGCTCCGTCCCCGTCTCCCGCCCCGATCCCGCTCCACGTCGCCTCCCCCGTCTCATCGTTCACCCTCCTCGCCCGCCCGTTGCCTCCGCCACTGCTCCTTCTCGTCCTGCCCCAGGACTCGTCGACATCGCTCCGCCGCCTCCAAAGGGCGCATCTTCGAGGAAGGACCGTATCCGATACGGGCCCTTCGTGTACAGTCCGGGCACGCCGTGCGAGAAATGCGCCAGGCGCAATCACGTTTGTCGCCGCGACGGGTACCCTGGCCATGGGTGCAGCACTTGTATCCGTTTGAAGGAGCAGTGCTCCCTCACTCGGCTTCGTGCGTTTTTTTTTTTCTCCCTCCGCTCCCCCTTCTCCTTGCTGACGTGTTGACCTTGACATTCCAGCCAATGGTCCCCCGCGTCTCCGGTACATCGGCCTTCACGCCGACGTCTCCCCTGAGGTCGCCGCCCGTTACGACCACACACCCCGCATTCCCCGTTCCACGACCGTCGAGGGAAATCCGCCGGCTGACCTCCTGGCGTCCTACGCACCCCCGCCAGCTCGTTCCCCGTCTCCTGTGGCTGGCCCGTCCCGCTCCGTTCGTCGCCGTGTCCAGGACCTTGCGGGCGGCCTCGACGCGGTCGAGCGGTTCGTCCTTCGTCCGGGTTTGCTGGGCGCCCCCAACGATGCGCGGGACGTGTAACTCCCGATGAGGACACCGAGATGGCGGACGCCGCCGCGGTTGACGCAGATTTGGAGTCGGAGGATGCGCAGTAGTGTGGGCTTCCGTTCGTACTTGTATGTAAAGTAGTCCCTGTCCTGCTCCCGTCCCTGTATTCCCCGTTCCTCGCTAATTGTTAATGAAATGGCTTTGTTGTCCGCTCTCCCTCGCGACCGATTTCTTGAATCCGGGGTTCTCCGTACTCTGACTCCCGTTGTCACCTCGGGCCCTACTGTTAATATGCAAGCGCCCCATTCCACGCCCCCCACGTACTCCCCGGCCTCGCATCGCGTGCCTATTCTCTTCATCGATCTCGACCGATAAGCCGTTCCGCTTACCCTCCGCGCGTCCCTTATATTCCCTCCCCCTCCGCACGTCTCCTCCCCCTCATTCTTGCACGGAGCTTGTATCTATCATGGCCAGCCCCGCCCCTCCGTCCTCACCGGGTGTGAACGGCGTGGTCACTTCCGACGACCGCAACGATACCGTCCTCTTCACTGACCTCTCCGTCGAAGAACGCCTATCCCGTCTTGAGGCTCTCTCCGCTGATGTAAGGTCGCCTCACTCGTCGTGCCCGGTATGCGCTGTACCCAGTCTCTATTCAAGGAGAACTGTCTACGGATGCATACATGGGCGGTGACGAGGTAAAAGGCTGAGGTCTCGTAGGTGCGCTGGCGCGCCATACGAGCCCTCGAGCAAACAAGAACAAACATGCGAGATAAGATATACCGTAACGGGAATATCCGTTACACCCTCCCCCACTGGACACGACCACGGGTCCCAGCAATAACCAGAGAAACAAACAAAAAAAGGAAAAAGAAAGAGGGAATGAGAGGAAAAGTACACGCAACCACCCAACGGTGGTAGCGACTGGCAAGACAAAGGTGGTGCCGTACTGTAGACAACGACAAGCTACTTCGTGTCAGTGAGCAGTACAGCCGTCCACCATTGTCGTACATAACTCGATGGAGTTATGCAAATCAGAGTGCCGATGGCGACAGGACAATGTTGGCAACGAGCTAATGATGATGGCCAGGATTGTATTGGGGTCGGAGAACTGTGAAGTTCTCCTCGCCACATCTCGGATGATGGTGATAGGACGAGTACCGCGAGGTACTTGCTGACCGAGTCGCCACCGAGCTCCTCGCCGTAGTCGGTGACCGAAGGATTCAACCTCTGCGTGCAAACCGCAGGAACGTTGGATACACGGTTCGAGCACCCTCGCTCGCCGATCGTACTGTACAGCATGTCCGTGCCAGTCATCGTCTGTGGGTTGTCCCGTGGGCCATCCGTACCACCGTCGTACAGGGTGACTGCCACGACAACCACATTGGTTGTCGTGGTCATCACGGGTGGTGGTAGTGGGGTAGAGAGCGGTGATGCGAGTGAAGAGGGTACGTCCAATAAGGACGTACCTTTGCTTCTTGAGCTCACATCCTCGTCTGCTTCGCGTACACCACACCCTTCCCCCTCTCCTCCTTCTGCCTGACCTTCCTCGTCTAACTCTCCGGCTTCCGTGCCCTCGCCCGCGTCTCCTCCGTTCCCGTCCTGCCCGTCCTCCCATTCCTTGCACGATCTCCGGGGTGTATGCAGGGTCGCCGATTCATGGCGCCTGTCGTAATCGCCATGGGTGTCGGAGGCCGTAGGGAGGTCGATAAGAATCGGGGTAGGGCACCGTAGGAGCGAGTCCTCGGCGAGAACTGTGAAATTCTCGCCGAGTTGGCAGTCGGGAGGCTGGTCTGGCGTGTAGGGGTCCGTAAACGCCGGCTGCTGCACTACTGGTAGTGCAGCAGTCGAGTCGCGATCTCGAGCTCGCGCGTTCATTGGGAATACCCGAGCGTCGGACTGCGCGTTCGCAGGGGCGCCGGGGTCGCGAATAGGGTGGCGGTCACTCAAGGGGTCGAGGGCGAGGTCCGCTGCGTTGTCGATCCGGTCGAGGTCGTAGCGTGGGCTTCCTAGCTGAACCGCGAAAAGTTCAGCTGTCTTGAAGAGGCCGTGGGCTTGCACTTCCTGTGGGGAGTGCAAGTCCTCGTGGAATACGGCCGCGCACGGTCGGTGACGGCTGGAGCGGGTTAAGTCGAAAGCGAAGCCATCCGGTGGGTCTGCCAGTTGAACCGCGGGCGGTTCAGCTGCGCGGACTTGCGCTGCTTGTGCTCGCCAACGAGCACGAGAAGCCTCTCGCAGGGAGGCCCTACGCGTCGATCGGCTTTCCAAAAGCCCTGCGGAGTCGAGTGCGTCGCGGGAGAGGTTGTCCGGGACGTTCCACGGCTTGGCCGTCTGACCCAAAAGAGGTTCAGCTGTGTTGGGACAGTCGGAGGCCTGCACTTCCGCAAGGACGTGCAGGCCGTCTTGAGGCGCGGACGTCGCGCCATATGCAGTCGAGATTGAGTGGGACACGTTGGGCATGCATCGCTGCATGTCCGTCGCGCCGCCATGCGAATTGGAGGGTACGACCGCGAGGTCGTCCCCGAGCACAAGTGCCTCGCCTTGTAGTGCGGAAGGTACGACCCTTGGGTCGTCCCACAGCGCGACCATGCCATCTTCTTGGCCAGTCATGCGTACGACAAACTTCACGTTCGTCGCTACGTATGCTAGCACGAGCACGGGCAAGTGGAGATGTGTCAGAGTGGGCCCGGGTACGTCCATCAGGGGAGTACCCTCAACTCTCGACTCTTCGTGCTGGTCCGCAGCGTGTACGTCAAGCACCAAACTCGGCGTACTCGCTATCCATCGGCCGGCGATGGGTAGATCGAGTACATCGGACGTGTCGTCCTGCGGAATCGACGGTACGACCACAAGGTCGTCCCGTATCACGGACCTGCCGTCTTGAGGAATGGGGGTTACGACCATTAGGTCGTCCCGTAGTGCGCCGCCTTCATGGCCAACAACCCGCGCGACGACCTTTGTGGTTGTCGATCCGTGTGCTGGCGCGGCCACTGGAGGAGGAAGCAGTGGAGAGTGGGGTACGTCGGACGTGCGGTGTTGCGCGTCCGTCGTTCTGTTATGCGCAGACAAGGGTACGACCCGCGGGTCGTCCCCTAGTGCTGTCGTCCTGGTCTCCGCGGCCAGCGGTACGCCCGACGAACTCCGTGTTCGTCGATACGCACGCTAGCGGGGTTACTGGCACAGGCGGGGCGAGTCGGGTACGTCCAGTAAGGGCGTACCTGCGAATTGCGAGCTTTCCTGCTGGCTGTCCCTACTCGCTCCGCACCCTTCCTCCCTCTCTCCCTTCGTGCCTTCCTCGCACCCTTCTCGTTCCTTCGGGATCTCCTCGCAACCTCCACGATCCGCGTTCCTCGTGGTCCGCTTGGTCTTGCGGCTCGGCGCTGGGCTTGAACGCGCGGTGTTCAAGTCCTGGGTCGCGCGGCTGGGTTCGTGCCCAGAGCCGCGGTAGTGGTCGCCAGAGTCAATGCGCGAGCCGAGAGGGGTGAGGTGAGGAGCCAAAGAGGGAGGAAGTAGCGATCTGGTACCGCGAGGTACCAGGTCGTCGGGCGCCGCTAGCTGGGCTGGCGGCAGTTCAGCCAGCCAGTCGTGAGTGCGCGTCCGCGCTCGCGTTGGGACGGTGCGCTCGTCTGGTTCGCCAGACGGGCGCTCGTGGTGGCTGCCCTGAGAGTGGAAGGGGTCGAGAACGAGG